CTGCAAGAATGTGTAACGTATCAGACAAAGTTGTCATTGGCGCCCTGGGGTCGATTCCAAAGAATCTCCAAAAAACACAATGATTCTGTCAGAATCGCACCCGGCATAAAAACGTTGCATACAAAGTAACCATCTCAGGCATAGAAAACCCCCTGCGGAAAGCGTTTGTTCTCTGAAATCTTGAGACTTTGAAAGAAAGTCACTTAAAATTATTTCGGTTGTTTGAAACCATCACTGGAGAGATTTCAATAATATTTCGCGAAATACGATTTTCAAATGGCCGTGTTGGGTGTTACCAGTGTTGTTTTACCACATCCTTCTTCTTTCCCTGTTTCTGTTTGCTTTTGCTTTTGTGTTTTTTACTTTTACTTTTATTTTACCCATTACAAGGTCAAGGTAGAGAGTTAGTAAATTTTATGGTGTCAACCAACACCCGCTGACACTTTTGTAATCTCTACTTTCGTAATGCTCGTTGTAGTAGAGACTTTGTAATCGCAGATACAATAATAATAACACCGTTGGACAATACTAGTGTCAGACGGCTTCGAATATCACTCGCACTAATAGTACTTGCTCGATAATACTCGCTATAATAGTAATCCGTATAGTGATCCGAATAGAGAAATAGTATAGTGAATAGAGTAGAGAATAGCGGTCTGTATAGCAATAGAGGATAGAATAGAAATGGCGATCAATTAGACGTCACGCTACCTCCCATATACGCGTTTCCTCTATGGTAAGGTGGTCTACTAAATTCAATAATTGAATCGCCTGTGTTTGCTCACTGGCGATCCATGTTCAAACTCAAGTGTCGGCAGCGACACTTTATTCCTATGTAACAATAAATTATATTGTTTTATAGACGTAGAAGAAGGAAGTGCTGATTATGAGAATATGTAGTATAGATAACAGTTGACCGTAGACTTAAAGATATTAAGATTATTAATGATCGAGGAAGAATCCTATCGGGAATCTGATTGGAGTAGTGGCTTTGGCGAACTTCCTTCTTAACAATGGAATACGAACGGAATGTGGATGATTCGCCCTCATGTTTATGCCAAGTCAGATCTTAGCTGTAAAGATCTGAACTGGTTGATAAAAGAAAATGTAGCTCGTTGGAATATTTTCCATGGAAATAGCAATAGGGTAGCGAGAGGCTTGATATGTTGCATTTGGGTGAAAGAAGTTGTAGGGTAGAGAGTAACTTTTTCCATCACTTACTACAACTTGTTACCAGCTCATCTACTTCTATTCTCGCTTTGGTAGCTTGAATGGTGTTTCTGATTTTTTTTTCTTTTTGGTTACGTTACGTTCACCTAGTAGCCTTCATCAACCGGCCTCTATTTAACTCTGATTAAATTGTCAGATTCGTCTGGTTTTTTTTTTTTTTACAATAATCTGATGAAAATAGTGTTAAATTATATTTGTTTATTTGGAAGAATTATCTACCTTTTTATTTTCCGTTATCATTGTCTGCACCAACTGATTGATTCGGTGACTTGTTTTTTTATAGATTATCAACCTTTTTCAGGTTATTTAAAGGCAGAAATATTTTTAGATTGTAAGAATTCTTTGAGATAATAATGATTTACGAGTCCAATTTTTACTAATTAACCAATAGCTGTAGGTAGAAGAGGTGGATTCATACTTTTCCCAAGGGTATTTGCGAGTAAGTGAATATAACAAAACCAACTTGAATTTAGAACACGGTGTGTTATGTTTTTGCTCGATTATTTCTACATACAGTTTAGTGATGCATTATGGGTAGTCCATGGTATTGCATTATGGGTAGTCGCTTGAATTATTTTAACAGATATTGTGGTGGGCGGTAACATTTAGAATTGTTCTAGGAATTATTTAGTGGGAATAATTGTGTATCTGAATGTAGTTTCTTTTTTTTTTTTGATATTTGAAGTCTCGATGATTCCTTAAGATTTGTCTGAATCAAAGTATATTAATAATAATAATCATGATGATAATATTTTACGTGGATAACGTAAAATTATATGTAAGGAATCATCATGAACTGACGGGGCTTGTAAAGACTGAAAAATTTCGGTGATGCATGAAATGTGGGCGAGATAAATGCACAACGGCCACATCCAGGGGGAAAGCTTCTTATATAATATATATATATATATATATATATATATATATATATATATATATACCAAAGATCCTAATGTACAGCCAGTTAGATCAGGGTTACAGGAATGTAGGACGCCCATGTCTAAGATACAAAGACAAGCTGAAAAGCAACTTGTCAGCAGTCAATATACCACATGGCACTCTTGAGCGCTTAGCCTTGGAGCGGGTAGAATGGAGGTCAACGTGTTTTAGTGGACTCGGCAATTTTCAATCTCCTTATCTGAATCATCTTCAAGAAGCGAGAGCCAGATCTAAAAGGTCAGCCAATCTAACAGTGATCTCATCTCACGATCCTCACACTTGCTCCGTATGTGGTCTCCTTTGTAAATCACTAGCGGGTCTTAAATGCCACTTAAGATTATCGCACAAAATTTCATAACTGAATCAAGTAAGCTGTCAGATCCTCATACGTCGAAACCGACGGGAGAATCCATTATATATATATATATATTAGTGGTAAATATATATATATATATATATATATATATATATATATATGTGTTTGTGTGTGTGTGTAAATAAATTCCCAAGAGGATAGAATCCAGGTAGAACTCAATGTCCAGGACATAGTAAGAATATAATTAAAAAATGCTCAAACACTAATATTCCATGGTTACATGAAACTTTTAGTTGTGATCGGCCATTGTTCACGGGTATGTTATTAATAAATTATACTAAAACACTGCCATTAACTATGGTATTGGGCTCTTTTTTCACCGGCGTGGTGTGCCTTCGTAAATATTCCCTTAGGAGTTGCTTAATTTGTATATTATTTGAATTATATATATATATATATATATATATATATATATATATATATATATATATATATATATATATATATATATGTAATTTTTTTCGCGTAGATATTGCGGTTATCTCGAAAAGGAAGGTACTTACAAATAACTGGGTATGAATTTATTCTAAATCTATCGTTGAGGAAGCAGGTGTTATCATGCTCTTTCTATCAACACAGATCGAACAAAACAAGCAAATAGCCCAGACATTATTATCAAAGTCAGAAAAGAAAAAAAAACTTTGCACTGGTTGTCACGTACTTATCAAATTACAAGAACGTTTCTAAGCAAATACAAAAAAATTGGAGATGGAAATATGAAAAAAAAAATGTGACAAAAAACTAAAACTGTTGTGGTTGGAGCTTTGGGTCTGATAACGAAAGGAACTCAAGAACAAACCAGCAAAAAAATTTGCAGGAAATACAAACAATAGTTCGTACAAACACGACCCATATACAGCGAAGAGCTTTGTTCATTTAGGGTTTTTTTATTATTAATAAATATATTTTGTATAATTAAGTGCAAATATCAAAAACTCACATGCTTCGCTTGCCCTAGGGTTTTGATCCAGCATGCGATAAAACAACATTTTTTTGTTTTTTTATATTAATAAGAGAGGCCCCATAAAGGTAAAGCTGAAGGAATATCAGAAAGCCATAATTAGGGGCGAGACAATGAAATCAGACAGTTGAAGATTTATTAAGCGAAAAGAGTAATCAGCAACCTCTATGGAATGAAGTAAAAATACTACACAATGAGGACCAATGGAGAGCAAGACATCTGAAGTAATCAGGGCATATGATAGGCTATGATGGTCTCCTCAGTAGGCCTAGCATATAAATAAATAGTATATGGAAGCTATTAATTAAAAGAGACATGGCAGCAAGGCCTCAACAGCAGAAGCATCAAAAAAAGAAAACCAATAGAGTTTGCAACAGACAAGATAGAATACTATTAGTTTTAAGACACCAAGTTTGAATTTCCGGATTTTTCAACAGGAAAATAGTCTACTGGATTAAAACGTTGGTTCGTGAATTTGGTGATAGTAATTCTAAGTTCAATCTCTAGACCGGGTAGTACAGTGCAAGAAAAAAATAAATTGATTAATAAATATAACAAGACAAGATATTTCTGGGGAGCAGAATTAAGGGAATATACGGATCAATACTTGAAGAATGGTGTTATCTCTTGTTAATTTTCCCTCTGAAAGTTCTCCACTGCTTTAACCGGGTATTGAACTCACACTCTTTAGGTCCTGTCACTGGATCTAACCAACGCCTTTATCCACTGTGCCATGTGTCCTTGAGGACATCTCTGTATGAATTTCTGCCTTAACCGAGTATTGAACTCACTACCCGGTGAAGGCAGTGGATAACTTTCAGAGGGAAATTAACAGGCGATAACTGATGACTGACATCCATTAGACATGGCACATGGAACTAGAACAGTCTACCCCAGTGAGCGAAATAAAGGGTTCAGTTCGACATTCCAACCACCTGAAGAAGGCCGTAGTGTACAACGGCCGAAACGTTGTAATAAATATGGCGGCAAAGATGAGGGCAATAGTCCGAATAATGTAAATAAAGATTTACCAAATATTACTTGTGTAAGGAGTACCAGATGATCATAAAAATATGATAGTTCTGTTGATTGTTGTAATAGAGTAATTAAATTTGTCTTCATGGGCAACAAAGATTATTAACGTGATTAATTATTTAGAATGATATCGATTGTATAATAATGACGTTGCCAATCATGCTAATTATCATTGATTTGTTTTCATTCCGAACAATGCTGGTGCTAATCATGAGAAACGTGGTTATATGTTTCGAAAACAATGATATTCTTAACAAATATTATTATGATAATAAGATTTGGGGACCAGCAGCATTAACCTTTCCCTTAGATACGATTTAAATATAAGAATGGCAACGAATAAAGATCAAAGAAAAGATGATTTTCAAAGGAAAAACAAAGATGGTGATGTTTAAGAAAGAAAGGAAGAAAGAAAAAAGAAAGTTGATAAGATCTAGTAATGTTTAAGAAAGTAAAAACAGGAAAGAAAGAAAGATGATGAGAACTTGAAATATTTAAGAAAGAAAGAAAGAAAGAAAGAAAGAAAGAAAGAAAGAAAAAATATGATCAAATGTAGAAATGCTTAAAAAAGAAAAAAGAACAAAAGGTAGACGATAAGTTCTAGAAATATTTAAGAAAGAAAGAAAAAAGAACGAAGGAAAGAAAGATATGATAAAATGTAGTAATGTTTTTTAAAAAAAAAGAAAGAAGAAAGAACAAAAGAAAGAAAAAATATGATAAGATTTAGAAATGTTTAAGAAAAAAAGAAAAAAGAACGAAAGAAAGAAAAAAAAAAGAACGAAAGAAAGAAAGAACAAATCAAGAATTAAAAAAAGAAACATAAGATCTGGTAATGTTTTACAGAAAGAAAGAAAGAAAGAAAGAAAGAAAGAAAGAAAGAAAGAAAGAAAGAAATATGAGATCAAGAAATATTTAAGAAAGAAAGAAAGATGTTAAAATCTAGTAATCTTTAAGAAAGGAAGATCATAAGATCGTGTAATGTTTAAGAAAGAAATAAAAAAAGAAGGAAAGAAAGAAAATCAAAAGGAAATTGAGGAGAAAAAAGAAAGAAAAAACGAGACATTTATGCTGTTCTTGATTTTGGGTGGATGAGGAGATATCGTTGTTTAGATTCGAACTAACATTCCTGTCGGTGTTGTTATTACCACAACGTTTCTGCAATTGTGCACTCAGACCTTCTTCAGATGCCACTTGATTCGCTAACTTTAGTGGAATTTGGAAGTGAACCATTTATTTAATACACGGTGGTTGATTATTCTCGTTATGCTGTCCATGCCTGGAGGGGGGATATCTTTTCCTTGTCTTTTTTTTTTTCTTTTATTTATTTTTTTTTCTTCAGTTATTGCTCTGTTTAAGCCAGCCCAGGGACTGAACTCACAATTACCAAACTCACGATCCATCTCTTTAATCTACTGGACTATTTCCCCGTGTGGCTGCACGAAGCAGAGAAGATGAATGGAATCCGAAGAAAATGAAAAGGGAAAGCAAAGAACAAGAGAAAGATTAAGGAATCGAAGAAACAGAAAGAAAGATGAGGAAGAAAGCGTTAAAATGAAAAGAAATAAAGAGAGAGAAAAATAGAAAGAAATTGGCACATCAAAAGAATGGCGACCATTTGAATGAACAAAATAAAACGAAAGTGAATTAAAAAAGGTAGTATACGAAGGAAGGAAGGAAGGAAGGAAGGAAGGAAGGAAGGAAGGAAGGAAGGAAGGAAGGAAAGAAGGAAGGAAGGAAGGAAATGAAAGAAAGAAAAATGAAATGATTGATACGGAAAATAACGAGAGAATGACTGAAAGGAAGAGATGAGAAAGAAAGAAAGAAAGAAAGAAAGAAAGAAAGAAAGGAAGGAAGGAAGAAAGAAAGAAATGACTGTTAAGGTAAATTATTAAAGTATGAATTATTGTAAGAAAGCAAAGGATAAAGTCAAACAAGAAAAAAAGAAAAAAGAAAGAAAGAAAAGAAAAAAGAAAGAAAAGAAAGAAAGAAAGAAAGAAAGAAAAGATGAAATGATTGATTGAGAAAATTATGAATGAAATGAATGGATGCCGATGAAAGAAAGAAAAAAGAAAAGAAAGAAAGAAAGAAAGAAAAAAGAAAGATGAAATGATTGATTGAGAAAATTATGAATGAAAATGAATGGATGCCGACGAAAGAAAGAAAGAAAGAAAGAAAAAAAGAAAAAAAAAGAAAGAAAAGAAAGAAAGAAAGATGAAATGATTGATTGAGAAAATTATGAATGAAATGAATGGATGCCGACGAAAGAAAGAAAGAAAGAAAGAAAGAAAGAAAGAAAGAAAGAAAGAAAGATGAAATGATTGATTGAGAAAATTATGAATGAAATGAATGGATGCCAACGAAAGAAAGAAAGAAAGAAAGAAAGAATGAAAGAAAGAAAGAAAGAAAGAAAGAAAGAAAGAAAGAAAGATAACGGTATTTATTTAATAAATAAACTAGAAGAAACTAGAAAATGAATGAAAAATGACTTAATAAAGGGGGGTAGTTTTATGAAAGAAAGAAAGAAAGAAAGAAAGAAAACCATGTTTATAAAATGAAAAAAAAAGATTTAAAGTAACTAGAAAATTAATGAAAAATATTGTAATTAGAATAAAGGGGGATAGTTTTAAGAAAAAAAATAAATCAAGAAATCAAGAAATGGAGAAAGAAAGATTACGGTGTTTATAAAATAAAAACTTTTGCATTAAGGCTAAAATTAGAAATAGACTAAATACATGAAAATTTTAATAGTTCTAAAAATGTAAGAAACAAACAAGCAAATGAATGCATTCAAAAAATAAGGAATTTTATCGAAAGAAAATATTTTCAAAGAAAACAGAACTCTAAATGAAAATAATTGCGATTGAATTAAAAGAGTTTCAAATAAATATCAATTCACCAGAATTCAATAATAAGAATACATAAGTATTGCTGGTTCTATGATTTTGTTTAGCGGCATATCAACACCTCAATGGGTTATTTAATGTCGAAATTTAAATACTTTAAAGACAATTTTATGGCTTCAACTAAATATATCTTAAACGCGATTGTATACCTTCAGCTACAGATAAAATGTATTTTTGGTAATTTTGCTAAAAATATGTATTGTTGTTTCTTTGAGTATGCTTAACGGCATATCAACATCTCTATGGATTATTTAATGCCGAAATCTAAATATTTTGTACGTAATTTTATGATTTTAACTACAAATATTCTGTACATAATTCTATACTTTCGGGGTAAAGGTATGTTTTCTAGACACAGTTTTTAGATCATAACATGTGTTATTGATAATTTTACTATAAAAATATTTTTTTAAAAATTTGCATTGATTGTCATTTTGCTATGTAAATGCATTGTTGGTAATTTTATTATAAAATGTATTATTGGTCATTTTGCTATAAATATGTAGAGTTGGTAATTTTTTCACATCTAAAAATATATTGCTGGTATTTTTACTATAAAAATGTATTTTCATACTTTCATAGTGCCTTATTGTTGATTATGGGTTGACCATTTGGCCATAGCTGTGACCCTAACAAGTGCTACTATTCCGTGTCATGGGTGGACCTGGGAACAATAATAGGTAAAAAGGTAGTTGGCCGCTCTTCAAAATCTGCATTCTCCCGATCACAGGCCATGCTGCCGGATTTAGTTTATCATCATACCCAGGACACAACTCTGTAATGTAAATGACTATTTGTCATGATACAAAAAAAGATTCTCTGGTCACAACGAAGACGAATAAAATGTCGTATACCGTGACACTGAAAATGACAATGACAACGTAGATAGGAAAAATCATTCGGCTATCCATTGCTACGAAAACGACTATCCTTCTTTACAAAAAACGACAGAGAAATAAGAAAAAGTGAATATGACATTATGGGGAAGGTAAGGAATAAGAAACTACAAAAGAAAGAAAAAAAAGGTGGTGACGAGAAGGGATGGATTCAAGAAAATGGTGGGTAGGGAACAAAACGGAGTAGAGAAACGTTCAGGAGGAACAATGGACTCTCGGAGGGCAAGCTTCATTTCCGTCGCCCCCACCCCCCAATTCTTCAACCGCCCCCTAACACTACCCAATACTCGTGAAGCCACTGTGTATCAGTCTGCCAACTCACCTATCGAATAAACCAGCCTACACCGGAAAACTTGTGAATATTTATAAATTGGAAATAGTTTCCTGTTTAAGTTTCTGATGTAGGTTGTTGTCAGCTCAGGCTCGCGAAAATACAAATGACGTAAAAACGCAAGGAGATAGAGAGAGAGATAGAGAGAGAGAGAGAGAGAGGACTTTCCAAATTTCGAAATCCTTTTACCAGTCCTTCCGATGTCTCCCTCTTTTCTCTCTCTCTCTCTCTCTCTCTCTCTCTCTCTCTCTCTCTCCCTCTCTCTCTTTTCTCTCTCTCTCACGCGCGCTTTCTGTCTGTCTGTCTCTCTCTCTATCTCTCCCTCCCTGGTTATTTCTGGAATGAAATATCCGATTGAATAAGTTGACGGTGGTAGCAGCAAATAAATTTGGGGGTTGTCGAATCGGGTTGTTCTGTCCCTGGCGGTGTCTGGCAATGAATATTCTCCAAGATTTAAGAAGCTACACATCTAAAACTACAATATCTGCACTTTCTTTGTTTCTTTCTTTATTTATTTATTTATTTATTTATTTCTATCGTTTTTTCTTTTTCTCTGTTTCTGTTTTTATTTCTTTCGTTCTTCCTTTCTTTCTTTCTTTCGTTATTTCTTTTGTTTTTTTGTTTTGTTTTGTCTTTATTTCTATTTATTTATTTCCTTTCTTTCTTTCTATCGCTGTCTTTTTCTCTCATTCTGTTTTTATTTCTTCCTCCCTTCCTTTCTTTCCTTCTTTGTCCTTTTTTGTCTTTACTTCTATTAATTTTCTATTTCTTTTTCTTTTTCTCTCATTCTGTTTTTATTTCCTTTCTTTCTTTCTTTTTCCTTTTCTATTTTTCTTTTTTAGCGTTTGTCTTTATTTCTACTTGTTCTTTTCATTCTCACTTTTTTCTTTTCTTTCATTCTGTTTTTCTATTTGTCTCCCTTTTTCTCACGTTCATTCTTTCTTTTTATTCTTTTCTTTATTTCTTTTGTCTTTATCTTCTTTCTTTCTTTCGTTTTTTTTTTTTTTTCATTTTATTCTTACATTCTTTCTGTCTTTCTCGCTTTGGTAGTATTCTTTCTTTCTTTCTGCTTCTTTCTTTCTTTCTTTCCCATTTTTTCCCGTTAAGTATTTGTTCTCTCTCTTTAATTCCACTTCGGATGGAAAATGTTCTATTCGTTTGTCTCTCTTTCCGTCACATTCTCTCTCTCTCTCTCTCTCTCTCTCTCTCTCTGTTAATATTTAATGACTTAGCTAAATCTGCACATGATTACAATTGTGGATCGCCTAATTCTTAAAAGATGTTCTGATATTGAATGGTATTATAGGCCGTTTCCTTATAAGGAAATATTTGGCCTTCATTGATAGAACATCCAGTACCTCTTTCGGTTGAAATTTATAAATGTTTCTATTAAAACAATTATTCAAGAAAATACATGCTTCAAGTCCACTAACTGTTATTGCTCTTTCATTGATAAGCTATTCCCACCTAAACTTTATGTTCGAATGTCGATATGTTATTATTTGCTCCTCGATGTACGTATGCTATCCATTTCAGTTATTGCTGCTGTTGAAAGTCCTCGAGTGATGTGGTTCTGTTATTTGGTAGATATAGGTGATTAATGTTGTAACCTAGAGAAAGTTACTGAATAGAATATTAGCCAGCGGCAAATCCGCCCTTCGACATAGCCTCGTCTGGGGATCCTCTCTGCC